TATTTACATGTAACTATTCTAAATCTTTGACTATTAACTAAATCCCCAATCCTTTCCAATATACATTTCTAACTTTTCAGAGTCTAAATTGATATACAGCTATTTATTCCACACACAATTTGAATGAAATTGTAATTTCAGATTTTAAAATGGCTTTTCATACTTGAAGCCCAATTCAAAGAACCAAGTGAAAAAGTTTCACTGCAGAAAGCTTTCTTCAAAAATATCTTCTGAAAGGATATTTAATAATAATCACAAATAAATATACCACTTAAACTGGGTAACAGTAACAGTAACCAAAAGCACCTGTGATTGGAATTCTGAGATCACAATTAGGAAACCATATGAAACATGTAAAATAATGCTGTAAACCAACTTTCTCTCACCTGATTGTTGGATTACAACTTCCTTAATTCCAATAATCATAGATAATGGAATTATGGAAAATAATGTCCAACCCATCTGGAGACATCATCTTAGGAAAGACTGTACTGAACTTTGAAAACAGGAGTTGGGTAACCAAGTAAGCTATGAAAAAAAATCATTTCCTTCATTCAAAAGGCAGTTTCCAAATTGTTCGTTTTTTTGAGAAGGCAAGTGCTTTACTGTTAGACTAGAAATACATCTATGCCCATAATTCAGTTGCAGTATTCAGTGGAAAATGGACAAACACAGCAGGTTAAAAGCCATTCTGTTTGTTCCGAGAACCTAATAATTAGAGGTATGCTGGGCTTGAACAAAGAGATTTCAGCTTTGTTTCTTTTAGCTAACAACCACTCAATCTAGAAGAGATTTAAAGTGTATTTTATAATATATTACATAGCTTTGGGTGCTACTATTGTAAAGAAGGGCAGGAACTTAAGCGGGAAAAGCAGTCACTCCTATATTTTGCAACATCCAAAATTAGTACTCAGGCTGATGTAACTGATACATTAGTGAAGCTGTCCCTTCAACTTCCTTTCACAAACAGGCAAGATATTTGTAGAATAAAAAGTATTTATGTTATAAAGGTGAATTCTATTGACATTAGTTATCACAATGGAGTATGACAGTTTTGTTTGTTAATCAGCCAAATCCCCTCTTAACAACTTGAAAGTTACTGTGAAATATTAGAAGAGTTAATGGCTTTTTTTCACTCTATCTACACACTACAAAAGTATGTTAAACTAATTATTTTAATGACAGCATAAACTTAATAGATCAGATTGAACATGGAGTGGGGCCATCTTAAGCCCCATTTGAAACCCTACTCCATACAATGTATGCCACAAAGCATATTCACTTCTCTGCTTCCATTGCATCTGTACAGAACAGACTGGTATTTATTATATTTTTATTCATTAAGATGTTGGGGAAGGGGAACCAGAATAGTTGGAGGTTCACTGTGAGCAATTTTTATTAATTTTTGCAGACAGTGTAAATTGGAATTGCCTTGAATTGGACTCAAGTGTTGGGACAAGTCACAGGGAGGTAAACTTGGTAATCTCTTATCATATAGATATGGATTCTTTTCATCATGAAGATCTTGAGAAGGTAGGCAAGATATGTAGCGAGTTAAGGGCCACTAATTGCTTGTTTAATCCCTCCCTCTCCCAGCTGATTAGCTCCATAGTCTATGGGAGTGAGTGGCTATAATAAATTTAAATAATTAATAATAATAATAATAATAATAATAATAATGATGATGACAACAAAACACACAGTGAAGAGACTGGATTGAGTGAAGCCTATTTGGGATGGGATTTCATCCCTCCAGAAATGACAGATCTGTACTCTAGGAGAGTTTCTTGATTATCCGTTGTCAATAATTATGGCTGGCTGCAACCCTTCTCAAGCTATTTGGCCTATTATCCACTCTCTGGATACTTTTATTGGCTACTGTTACACTTTATATTGAGTTACCCTTGAAAACTCTTTAGAAATTACAAGTGAGACAAAATACAGTCTCTAGGCTGCTAATCAATTCAAGGTACAGGAGTCACATAACGCCTGAAGATGTGCACTGCTTTTCAATTTTACCTACAAAATGCAATTTAAGGTGTTGGTGCTGACAGTTACTAGTAACACATCCAATCTTTTAGATCAGCGGTAGACCTTTCAAAGTTGCCTCCACTGCCAGAGTCATCTATCTGGTACATAGGAGAGAGTGTCCCCCTGTGTAACTCCCAAACTATAGAATGCTCTCACTAGGTTGTGTTTGGCCCCTACTCTCCCAATAATTAGAAAAATGGCAAATATACATGTCTTTCATCAAGCTTTTTAATTTATTTTGAACTTACTGAGTTTAATACTATGATTAAGCTTCGTATTTTTATTTGTAATGTTGTAAGCTACTTTGAATATTTATATAATAAATATAACTATTCAAATATTCAAAACACATAAATACTGATGTCTAATTTATCATACTGTGATTTAATTTCAGTTTTCTTTAATAATCCATTATGATTAGAAGAACTCTGATTACAATCATTTTATGTCAATAAAAATATAGTCTGACCAAATGTGTGATATCAATTAAAACACAAACAAGAATAATAAATTTGCAATAATGTTCTAAAATCAACTGATTTCTCCATTTTTCATATGAAACAGGAGAGGACAGCTTATACATCTTGGTCTAACTTCCTATGGCTTTAGTTTAATTTCAAAAGTACTTTGCAAGTAGGCAAATCAAATTTCAAATAAAAACTGTCTGTCCCTTCTCTGGCAATTTACAGCGATATGAGAGAGTGAGAGAAAAGAGGGTGTAAGAAAGAGGAAGAGAGAGAGAACACAAAAAAGAGGCACTGGACAGAAGAAAATAGTGTTCCTACATACTATTGTCATGCAATGCCATTCCAAGAGATTTGACAGAAACAATTTATTGATGATAAATGCAGAACTATACTAATGCAAAGCTGAATTATTATTTTATCTGACAATAGTCAGGAATATAAATACTATTAAAATGCTAAATATGGCACACGTTATCAGATATGTTTACTGAATACCATTTTTAGCCACAGAGTAAGATCCAAACAACAATCCCCCTCCAAAACAAAAATTATCAGAAACTTTTCTAAACTACCCAAGATTCTTCACTAAAATTAAAATCTTAATCTACTGATTTACCATAAATGTTACACAGCAAGATTATATTATGCTTACTAAAACATAAACAGATGGATGAAATCATCCACTCATTTAAAAATAATAATGCATTTCAAGAAAGTGCAAATGCACTGTAGTTTTTAGTGTTTTTACCATTTTTCTCTTCCTGTTAGTAATGTTCCATTAATATGCTTTACAAAGGGTACATCAAGTTGACTTAAAAGATAGAAGGACAGTAATTTCATGATATATAGGAAGTATTTATTGTAAATTTGACAAAAAAACCATTCATTAGAAATATCCACTTCTACAGTAATTGTCAAAAAAAGACTAAGATCATATTAGTAGAAGACAATCTTTCTTCCTCAGAAACAGTAAGAAGACATATAAAGGAACACAGGGAAGTAAAACCATACCACATAATTATCCAGACATGACTACCGTCTAAAGTCTGCAAAGTGGATAATATGTAGAAAGAATTTGAGATGAACCTCTATCACAGAGCAAGTATGATAATGTTTTCCAAGTATTTTAAACTGCAGTTCTACAAGAGTAGTTAATGGGAGCTGAAGTCCAAAACCTCTGGAGTACACAACACAGCTGATCTCTAGTAGACATTTGGGGGAAGAATAAGGGATACATGTGGAATAGTAGATCCAGGTGAACAGCTGTACTATATATACAAAACAAAGGAAAGCTAAGTACTATTAATATAAGGAAAGGCATTCAGATCAAAATCAAGGAAGAATGTTTTTAAAATCCCATAAGAACTTAGAAAGCAGGCAATAAAATACAGGAATTAAATAATTTATGAAATTATTACTAAAAAGAAGCAAAATGGTTGATTCAGACTATAACCTACAACTTTTTCTAGAGTACTCCTTAATAAATAGTAGCATTTTGGAATACACGTGTATATGATATTTCTGCCACTAGCAGGGCATAAATCCTGTTGAACACAAATGTTCAACTTTCTAGTAAACGTGACAGTAAAGAGTGAATTACAGTGTACAGAAAAAGTAATAGTAAACGCTAGGATGGAAGTTCTAGTAAAAAAAGTGATTTAACTAAGAAAGAAAGACTGAAGGGAAAAAAGATCAAGAACAGGTGGAGAACCAGATCTAAAGTTGTCAGGTTACTGACAAAAGATTAAAAGAATAGGCAAGTAAATATGGGGATATTATGATGGCATAAGAGCACTGTGGATTATTTGGAAGTCATAAATACTGGATACAATTATAAAAATCAGCCACAGATGCCAGTAAATTGGGATCTTATTTATTAAAGACAGAGGGTCTGGAAATGCATAATTTAATGGATGGATGAGTGAATAAAGGAAGTTAGAGAGGAATACAAACGACACAGGCTAATGCTTATAGCATTTAAAGTGATGGGCCTGGGAAAGGTATCTGGACTGGACTGTACACCATCAGGAGAAAAAAAGTCCCAAACTGCAAGGGACGAGGCTCATTTTCAAGCTCAACTGCAACTGATTAACTCAGGCTACACAATCAAAGTTGCAATTCTGTATATGTTTCCTTGGATAGCAGAGTATTTTCTAAAGATCGCGTATGCTAGATAAAGCGTAACGGTTCTCATTCCTCCAGGGAGGGTGATTATGAGGTAAATGCGAACAGTGATTACAACCAAGGAGAGGTGACGGTTCTTCTTCCAGGTTAATCAACACGGAACCATGTGGGCGTGATCGTATGGAGAGGGAAGTGGAAGGAGGACAAGCGGAGATCACGCGTCTGGACCGCCTGTCCACTACAACGCACGCAGGTGGCGATCCTTCGGACTGAGAGGGCCCCCCAGTACTTGGGGCGAGGAAGAAAAGGGCCGAGTCAGGGCCCACTGTGAGATAATTTGTACGAGTCAGGGTGTGACAAAACAGGCCTCCCCGTTACCTTTTAACGACGACAACAAGGGACTCAAAATCCTCTCACCTGACGGCTCTGCCCGGGTTGTGGAAGGGGGAAGGGGAGCGGCAGGGGCGACCGCTAAACCAACCACGGCACCTCCGCGCGCACGCGCGCGAACACACGCATAGACACACACAAACTCCCTCGCCGTCGGACACCCAGTGTTTGCCCTCACTCGCCTCTTGCTCCTCCCCCCAGCCCAAGAATTGCGTCGCGGCCATTGGTTTCCAGTTCTCTCCGTGGGACGGCTGACCAATCCAGTGAGCCGCTCCCTGGCCTCTCTCGCCTATTGCAGGACTGGGCGTGTGAGGAGAGAGAAGAAGCAACCGAGAATACTTAACAGGGAGGAGGGATAATAAATTTTGATTGGCGGGAAAACGAAACCAACTCATTTTTCTCCCCCCACCCCCTCCATTCTTCTAAGAAATCATTGGCTAGAGCTACCGCCTCCTTTTTCTATTGTGGGTCTCCTATTGGCCAGCAACTCCAAAAGGTTTTACAGAAACGTCAGGCCTTGTTCTCGCGCGCAGGCGGGGTTACTGGGGGAGGGGTGGTTAGAGGATATGGCTGGAGCTTTGATGCTCGACTTGGTATCAATGCGCTTTCTCATGCTGCTCCACCCCGCCCTCTTCTCTTCAGCTCGCGCGCCGACGCAATAACGTCAGCAACGACTTTGGGCTTTCGCAAGATGGCGTCGCGCAGGAGCCGATGTTAATGGCTTGCTGATTTTGGGGTTTCGTTGTACGCTTCGTCCGTGAGTGGTTCCGCAATATTGTGTGACTGAGTGAAAGAGAGGATGCGTGATCGAAATTGCCAGAGTTACAGAGGTGTACTGAGGTTGAAATATAGGAAGCCTTTGATGAATTAATGGCAGCGGCCCTGGTGAAGGGTGGAAAGACATTCATTTTAATGACAAGTCCGGAGAGAAAATTTTCTAATTTCCAAGAGCCATTCTTGAAAGTTACAGCCAAACTTTAAAATACAAAGGCAACAATTCGGAATTATTATAATTATATAGAGCAGAAACAGAATAAACTTCTTTTTAAAAAAAATATGGTCTTGTTTGACAAGGTAAGGTAACGTATTAAATAAGCCAATAACACTGACTTGACAATGAACCGTGGACGCATTTATTCAGAATATAAAATGAATAACCTAAAAAAAAGCGTTTGCTCTGTAATTGGTAGTAGCTTGTTAATTTTTGAGGGCTTGCCTTCAACATGGGCTAAATTCGTAGAATTTTAGGGGGATGAATGAGAGGACTATTTTATATGCTTACTATTCCTGTTTATTTCATTGTTTTCCTAGATTACTGTGGGGGACGAGAGTTGATAGCAAATAATAATGGACCTTTAAAGTATTACTCTTTATCTTATAGATTTAAATTCATAATTGGTTAAACCAGTGCCACCATAACGCATGACAGTATCAGATAAAGAAATGAGCCCAATGTTTGAAAAGGCTGGAATCTAATGTTTGGAAGTATGCTGTTCTTTGGAAAGTGGAGGCAATCAGCTATTTCAGGTCAAAATAACATGAGAATGGAGTTTGTTTCAAGCATCACATTCAAATGACTAGTTTTGAGTTTGGTGAGTGCAGTGTATGACCCTTATCATACTTGGATACTTGGATTTTATGTAAAGGTAGTCAAATTTACTAGAGTTAGAGTTACTTTAGGATTACTAGTGTTTAGATCTACCAGTTTTTGAATTTGCTCCATAGCTGTGATTTAACATTGCTTTGATTTGCAGCAATTATTTTTATTAGATTTATGTCCAGCCTTTCCTTCAGGAATTCAAGATTCCTAAATGGGGATTTTCCTTCATTTTTAATCCCCATCATAGCAAGTTGTAAGATAGTTTGGTCTGAGATAGAATTGTCATCCAGTGAGTTACCATGACCGAGGGTTGACTTAAACCTGGATCATCCTGGACCAACACTTTAACCACTGTACTGCACTTGGGGCACTTTGGCTTTTACGTTTTGTTCTATGCTGTGAAAACTTCACTTTGCCAACTTCCACATAATAAAACTCTGAAGGGCAAGCTGAACCTCATTTCACCTGGCCATTTGGTAATCTGAGTAGTACTTAATAGGAAAATACCATTGTGCTGTTAGAAATTTTGTTGATCGTGTAGCTCACTGCTAATGTAAGTTAAGGAAACTGGCTGTCAATGATTTCTATATCCATAGCAGGCCAGCAGTTCTCCAAAACAATGGTGCTATTATTTTATATTTATGTAGGTATGTATGTATCAAATTTGTCACCACCCATCTTGTTGAACGACTCTGGGCAGTTTACAAAATTACAATCTACTGTTAATAAATAGAAAATAAATAGATCCAAGAATAATTGGCAGTCACTCAGGGAGTGTCATCAAACCGCTAGCCACCCCCAGGATTGGGTAAGATTGTTATCACCCCATGCAAGCTGGCAGAGCCAGGTCTTTAATCCTTCCCAGAAAGCAAGGAGGGTAGGGGCCTGCCACACCTCTGGGGGGAGAATGTTCCAAAGTGCGGGGGAGTGATATTAAAAGTGA